TGCTCTCTCTCTCTCTCTCTCTCTCTCTCTCTCTCTCTCTCTGTATCTCTGTGTCTCAAATGAATAAATAAAATCTTTAAAAAAAATAATAAACTTTTGAAGAAAGTGTACTTTTACATGTGTCGTAGATGTTTTTAGTCATATTTCTTTTTTCCTCTTCTCTAGTTTGGTGGCTTGCCCGCTGGTACGAATAACGCTTTGCCGCTGTCCAAAGAAAATGGAACTGGCCCCCCAGCACTGGCTCCTCCTCCGCCACTGCCCTCCTGTGGAGGCGGGCCGCCTCCACCCCCTCCCCCACCCCCTCCTCCACTTCCAGGAATGCCAATGCCCTTTGGTGGTCCTGTGCCCCCACCACCTCCCCTGGGATTTCTCAACGGGCGAAACTCTCTTCCTCCACCAACCCTACCGTTTGGGTTAAAACCAAAGAAAGAATTTAAACCTGAAACCAGCATGAGGAGATTGAATTGGTTAAAGGTAAAACAGAACTAAATGGAAGAAAACATACTACCACCTACATTAAAATTTAATTTTATATTTACACAGTGACATTAAATAGGCATTATTTGAATTAAATAAAAATGTTGAGACAAAGCCCTTTTCTCTCAACTAAGGCTTTCTGGTTTAGAAATTTGGTGAGAGGTAATAATTGTTAAATGGGATTTGATTCATCATCAGATTGATAATTCAACATTATCATCATTGAACCCTTTATGAAATGTTTCTCAGAAGGACAATGTTAGTGATCTTTGGAACTTTTCTATGTTGGTAGCCATTGGAAAAACCAGTACTAGTTGTCGGAAGTTGATATCTAGTCAGGACATAGAAATTCTGAATCCTGTAGAAAGATGGTTTCATGGTCACACAACTTTGGGAGGGGCTGTGTAATGTATCCTGCACTTGAATTGTTGCAGTGCACGTGAGCGTTATTAAAGACTTTGAGAGGTTTAAGCAACAAATTTTATTTCACTCTGCTTCAAACCCTCAACTATGTGATAGTGGAACTCCCCCCCCCCCCCAAATAAAATCTTAGTTTCCTGGGGAACTTGGATTCTATTGAACACACTTTGGGGAAAAATATTACAGGGATTGCTTCATAAACATCTGCTGGCAGCGATGGGACCCTGGGTCTGAGCATAGTGATCGCACTGGGACAGGTGAAACACCCAACTGTTTATAAATCCATCTCTCTGATTGCAGATCAGACCTCATGAAATGACTGAAAACTGTTTCTGGATAAAAGCAAATGAAAATAAGTATGAAAATGTGGATTTGCTTTGTAAACTTGAGAATACATTTTGTTGCCAACAAAAAGGTATGTTGAACATCGTGCTTATTTGTTAATCTTAGTACGTTAATACTGCCGATTCTTATACATTAACTTCTAGAGAGCATTATTTTAAGAGTCCTAGACATGATATTTTTATTTCACTAATGGTTAAATTATCTAATGAAAGGAAATGTTTAAAATACAAATTTTGTTATTTGGATTATCACATGAACAGTCTTTAAAATGCAAACGTTTAATATAGAAGTTTGTCAAATTTTTAGTATAATATCTTTTGAAGGTGTTCTAAATTGGACTTTTGAAAAGGAGGATGTTTTCACAGAGGATTTTGGCATGAGAATTCATTTTAGTCAATGGGACATAGAAAAACAAAATGTGAGCCTTTTTTCTAGTCATAATTTTACCACCCTTTAATATTAGAGTGACTGTAGCAATAATTAGCCTGAGTCACATGAGATAGAAATACCAAAATTATAGAATACCTTGAAAGCTAGCTTAAAGTAGAAATATATGAATAGATTATATGATCTTTTCATTAAAAATAATAGCATTCATTTCCAAAATTTTTTGTGATAGCTTTTACTTGTTTGGTGTGATATTTTCCGTTTTTAAATAACTCAAACATTATTCTGGTCTGAAAATTGGGTTTCCACCACATATGTTTCAGAGTTGATATCCACTTAAACTATTAAGTTAATTTTTAAGTTATGTAATGCTTACATTTTAGGCCTATATTACAAGGTACTTATATCAGTGATTACCTTTTAATTTTCAAAAAGGAAACTTTTTCACCACAAATTATGCCACTTATGACCCTGGGCTCACTGAGCACAGATTGCTGGAGAAGAGAGATTGTACTCCAGCTGGAGATGGGAAGGCTTGCTATAGAGAGGGAAGAATTAACTTCTTAAAATAACCTATTATGGGGGCACCTGGGTGGCTCAGTTGGTTAAGCGTCTGCCTTTGGCACAGGTCATAATCTTGGGGTCCTGAGATCGAGCCCCATGTCATTGAGCTCCCTGCTCAGTGGGAAGCTTACTTCTCCCTCTCTCTCTGCCACTCCCCCACCCCATTTGTGCGTGCTCTCTCTCTCTCAAATCTTAAAAGATACTATGTGTTAGGCCCTGTGCTGTGTATCTGATTTAACTTGACAATCACGTCAGTGAAAGGATATTGGCAGATACTAAAAAATATCATTTGCATTCCTTTGAAATGCTTATAAAATATAATTGTAAATTAGAATCTCTTTCTAAAAAATAATGTAAGTTAGAAACTCTAAAAGGTATTTGTAAATTAAGGTGGTTTTCCAGAATTTGGGATAAACCCAGAGCCTTCAGGAAATATTTTTGGGCACTGTTCTTGACCAGAATAGTAAAACTGATGTAGTTTGATCTTTGAAAACAGTGGGAATTTTCTCAGCAAGCTTATCCTAGGAAAACTTGTGAAGTAAGCAGATCTTAATTTTACCTTTTGATTATGGAGAATGAACATTTTCTTTGAATAAGATTAGTGCGCTCTTCAGGCAATCAAGGAAAATATATGGCAGTTAAAATGTGTATTTACATGTAAAACACTTCAGAATTTCAGATTTCATAATCTGGAATTGATTAGTTTTCCCTTTGCTTTCCTAGTAGGTACAAATGGTGGTACCTTAAAGCTATTTAAGTAATACTGCCATCCAGCTACTGTCTTTTTTTTTTTTTCCTTTACTCTGATTACTTTCTTAATTAATGAGGCTCAAAAGGGAAACTTGTTAGCATGTCTTTAATTTAGCTTTAGTGCTAGCCCTAAATGAAATAATTGGACCTTTAAAAAATTCTTAAGTCATCTAACTTTAGCCTTGAGATTCAAGGTTGAAAAAAAATGCATTTGCTGAATCTAATATTAGTTATAAAGGGTAAGGTGAGGGAAGGATGATCTTTTTGTGAGTGTTCTGTACTTCCATCCCTTTCTGCCTTTGGACATGCTGTCCCCTCGGCCCAGAGTCTCTCATTTGACTTAGAGGCTGACAGAGACCCATGACTTCTATTGTCTCAACTCAGATGCTACCTTCTTTCTTCAGTGAAGTGGAGGATACTTCCATGGTGACCAGGAAAGTTGGGGAAGCCCAGGGTTGTTACCCTGGGTGATGCCAACGTTTCACAGTGGCAACAAGAAACAAGCTGAGAAGGTGACAACTTTTTGGTCTGGATTTTAAAGAATAATTCCTAGAGAACATTATTCAAGGGGAATTAAGAGTGCTTTTTAGCATTACTAGTGCTTAAGTATTTTATTGGAAAACAGAATTGCTGCTTTCAGAAAAGTAGGACTTCCTATACCTATTATGTAGTAAAGACCAGAAAGGAAGGCCAGAGGCGAGTACCTGGAAAGCTTAGAGAAGACTGTGGGCTGGTGGAGTGGACATGTTTCTCCTTGTCTCTTTATTCACGGCCTGGCCCCTGAGGCTTAGGTCCAAATTCTAACTTTTTGCCCATCTCCCGTGACTCCGGAGGTTACTTTGAAGCAATTTTGTGATTTCCGCAGAAATCAGAATTAAACCCAGTCGCTTATTATTCAGTCCAAGGTGGCCCTACAGTTGCTGTCTGCTCCCTAGCTGGCAGGGGGAAGGGAGAGGCATTGCCTCCTGGTTGATTTTCATCATTGGTTTGCGTCACAGTTGAACAGGGAAGGACCCGGGATTCCCATCATTGGAGACTCTACGGGGTTTTTAGAGAACTAGTGTATCTGTTTCTCGTTGCGGTAATTCTTTTGTCGAAGAACCAGAGCATTTTGTGACAACATGGATGGACCTGGAGGGCATTATGCTAACTGAAAATAAGTCAGCCAGAGAAAGACAAATACTGTATGATTTCTTTTATATGTAGAACCTCAAAGCAACAAACAGTAAAAGCAAACTAAGCTTGTAGATCAGATTGGTGGTTGCCAGAGGTGTGGGTCCAGGAAATGGGCGAAGGGGGCTATAAATTTGTGAAACAAAAAACCCAAAGCTATTTCTCGGATTACAAAGGTGGAAGTTCCATCCCAGGACTTTAAAATGGTAAATGCCAATCAGTTGTGCTCCCTAAACATTTGAAACTGGTAGAAAGATAAAAGGAAACTGAATTCAACCATTTACTCTCTGTTCTAATCACATGCGCTCTATTTTTTTGTCTGTCTGTTACTCCTTTTTATTATTTTATTCTTATGGAGGACACTGCTTTGGGTTTTACAAACTTTCAGGTTAAGATGACTGGGTTTTAGTGGTCTTATACCATGAAAGTTGGAAAAGGAAGAGGGCCTAATTGTGGCCTAAGAGTACCTGTAGAGCACCTGTGGGATACCACTCCCTGAGCTGGGCCATCTTCACGTTACCTTGTCTAATCAGGACCACATCTCTACTGAGATTTTTCTTCTGCACAACAGTGCTATCTCCTTAGAATACCACCTTGGCCCATCCTCTGGTAGACATAGCAAGATATTCTAGGTATGAGCTTTCCTGACTGACTCATGTTCTTTATAGTATCTCTCCCGCTGCCCCTCCCCCCTCCCCCTCGTTAGATTTTAATAATGTTGTCTTTTAAACTAAGCTCCCTGTGATGTTTTTAACATTGCTTTAATAGGGAAGTGCCTGAGCCCTATCTTGAGGAATATAAGGAAACTGTCTCAGCCTTTTCTTGTGAAATCAACATGTTTCCCTGATTCAGTTGTATCACTTTCTCTTTTATAGCTTATTTTGCAATCAGGTATCACTTTGGTTTCCTTGTCTTAATCCTAAATTTTCGAGTTCTATCTTAGCTTTCCATATTTTAAATTCTTCTGAAAATAACACGTAGGCATTTTTCTGGTCATATTTTTCTTTCTCGCTTTCTTCCTCATTCATTGCTCCCACCTTTTCTCTTTCCTATATTTGGCTACTGTTGTTCAAGTCAGCAAATATTTATTTGGTATACGTTGTATGCTAGGCCTTGTGATTATTAGCACCTGGGACACTGTTAGAAAGGCAGACAGACATGTGCCCATTCCCGTGTTGCTTTCACGGTCTCCGTGAAACTCCACGGAGTTTCAAGTTCTCCATCACGTTGAAGCATAAGAATGAGGAATGGAACGACAAATGTTGATTTTGATATAGAAAGGGCTGTCATGTTTTACTCTCTTGGGGTCCTGTTAAAATTTAACAAGATTATAAAAGAAAATTATGTATATATCTCTTTGAAATCTAATTACAATATTCATGTATTGAACATTCGGTATCATCAAAATAATGCTAATGACCTGCATATTTTTTTTACCAGATTGGAAGCATCTGTTGGCTAATTTTTACAGGCTTTTGGAAAATGGATTAAAGTATACTAACAGGTTATTGGTGTTGGATTTATCAACTAAAATTAATATTAATTACTTTTATTATTCACAAACTATTAATAGGGATTAAAGGGCTTTCTGAAAGTACGTGAATAGTCTAATTCACTTAGACTGATTTATTATAAAAATGTGATTCCACAATTGTTAGCTTTCTGAAGTAATCACATTACAGGTGCATCCTATTTGCCAGATCGGGCCAATAAACTGGTTTATAAATAATTTCTCAACTGAACAGTTATGGCATATGGAAACAGTTAATGGATTATGCACTTAAAAACAAATCAAGCTTAGATTTCTGACATCATAGTTCAGTGGACAAAGTATTGGAGTAGGGAATGATAAATCATGGGTTATCCCAGGGACTTGGCTGTGTTCAGGATGTCGCTTTGTATTTGAAACACGATTTATTCCTCTGTATGAACAAAAGTGTATATATGAAAACAAAAAGAATCCTAAACTACCTCACAGGACTACATTAAGATGAATAATATAATTTATAACACAGTGTTTTTGGGAATGCATGTTAATAGAGAGGTGATGCCAAGATGAATGCAACATCTTGAAGTTTTTTGACAAAAAAGTGTTTTGACAAACACTAATTTGGAAAGATTGAGGAGGAAGTCCCATGAAGAATGAAATATTTCCCTAGGGGTTTATCCTTTGGTTCTTGTCTGTGTCTGAATCTG